AGGGGATTCACCAGGGACAGAGTGGGGAACAGAACAGGCAGACTGACTGAAATACACTGCTGAGGGGAGCAGTGGGTGAGACAGGAGAGGTCTGCTGCGCCACGTGGGTAGCTCCCTGGCCAACATGGGATCAAACTCGTGCTGCAGAGGCTGTGGATAGCTTCATAGTGCAGTGCTTAACCCCTTGCACCACCAGGGAGGCCCTCTTCCAATCTTCTATTTTGACTATTTGACCCTCATTAATTCACTAATACAAGTTTATACTGCACTGATATAAACATATTACTACCACTTATTTCTAAACTATGCCAAATCTCTGATTCTTTGAGGTTCTCGATTATTGTGCTACACTGTGTATGGCATCTGATATGGACCTAATGGTATAGAAAAATAAAGTCAGCCTTTGGTCAGGCCCTCTCTCCACTGGACAGCACTAGAAGTACAACATCAAATGCTAACTCTTGTTCTTTCCTAATCCAAAATGAGTCCCTCTGCTCCTACCCACTCTACAAATACCCTCGTACCATCAGAGATCTAAGATGCAAATTCCCCTCTAAATCTGTCTTTTCATCACACTTTCTGATGTGATAAATATCCTCAACAACTCCTTTATTGATTGATTAATTTGTTCATTCAATAATTAAATGTCTTCCATATGCCAGACACTGTGCAGAAGCAGAATAGGATAGACAGGTGTCTTCTGTAGAGTTTATAGTGGAGAAAACAAAGAAAAAATGTAATTTTTTTTATTTTAAATTTGGAAAGTGCTATAGAGGAATCAGTTTTGAAAACAGCAGGCAGGGACCTGATTTGGACAGAATGGTTAGGATAGGTGACATTTAAGTTGTGATCTAAAGGATGAGAAGATTTCTATACAAAGACTATGAGAAAACTTTGCTCTGAGCAAAGCAAATAGCACCTGTAAGTTGCAGAGGCAAGAATGAGTTTAGTGGGCCTCCCTGGTGGTGCAAGGGGTTAAGACACAAACTATGAAGCTATCTGCAGCCTCTGTAGCACAAGCTCAATCCCCGGCCAGGGAACAACCCACATGGTACAGCAGACCTCTCCTGACTTGCCCACTGCTCCCCTCAGTGGTGTACTTTGCTCAATCTGCCTGTTCTGCTCCCCACTCTGTCTCTGGTGAATCCTCTCACACCCCCACACCTCTGGCCTGTACCCCAATTCTTGTATGCATAAATAAATAAATCTTTAAATAAAAAAAAGGATGAGTTTAGTAGGCTGGCTGGAGATAAGAATGAAAAATAGAGGGGCCCAGCATCAAGAGCCTTATAAGGCATTGTAAGGAGGTTATTGACTTTGAAAAGGAGTTGAAGAATTTGGAAGAATTATAAATAGATGATTAATTTGACCCATGTCATGCTTTATTTGATTATTTTTATTTTTTTTATATTTGATTATTTTTAAAAATCAGTCCAAAAGCTGAGAAGATAATTGATTAGAGGGCAAAGAATGGAGTTGATGCAATAATGCAGGCCATCCAGGATGATGGTGGCATGTAGTAAGGCAATCGAAATGGTAGAGATAAATGTAGACTCACTAATCCAACTTAAAACTTTGGACTTTGCTATCTCTTTTACTTCTGCTAATAATATGTCATCAGTTATGACATTTTCTAGGTTCCAACCTTTATACTTTTTTACACATGACTCCCTATTCTCTGTTCCCATTGACCCAACCCATGTTACCTCTCACCTGCATGACTGCCGTGGCCTCATTACCAATCTCAACTTTCAATCTGACCTGTTCCAATGCAACCTACATGCTGTTGCTAGAGGACTCTTTCAAAAACACAGCTCTGACCATGTTTCCATTCTGCTCAAAGCCTCCAAAAGGCTCTATAATTTGGGAGTCAGGGCCCCTAATAAGTCCAACTTAATCTACACACACATTTTTTTTTTAACTCTGTTATCCATCAGTGGTTATTTAGGTTGCTTCCATGTCATGACTATTACAAATATTGCTGCAGTGAACATGGGAGTGCATTTACCTTTTTTTTTTTAAGATTTATTAATTATTATACAAGAACTGGGGTACAGGCCAGAGGCACAGGAAGGTGAGAGGATTCACCAGAGACAGAGTGGGGAGCAGAGCAGGCAGACAACCGAAACACACTGCTGAGGGCAGCAGCGGGCGCGACAGCAGAGGTCTGCCACACCATGTGGGAATCTCCCTGGCCAGCCAGGAATCGAGCCCGTGCTACAGAGGCTGCCGACAGCTTCACAGCACTGCGCTCAACCCACTGCACCATAGGGGAGGTCCGCATTTACCTTTTTGAGTCAGATTTTATAAGTAGTTCTCTTTTTTTTAAAGATTTATTTTACTTATTTATGCATACAAGAACTGGGGTGCAGGCCAGAGGTGCAGGGGTGGTGATAAAAGGAAGCTTGACAGTGCTGAGACTTTAACCCCTGCACCACTAGGGAGGCCCTATGGTAATTCTATTTTTAAAAAGATTTATTTATTTATGCATACAAGAACTGGGGTACGGGTCAGAGGCTCAGGGGGTGAGAGGATTCACCAGAGACAGAGTGAGGAATAGAACAGGAGGACTGAATGAAATACACTGCTGAGGGGAGCAGTGTGCGAGACAGGAGAGGTCTGCCACGCCATGTAGGTAGCTCCCTGGCAAGCCAGGGATGGAACTTGTGCTGCAGAGGCTGCAAATATCTTCACAGTGCTGTGCTTAACCCCTTGCGCCACCATGGAGGCCCCTTCTTTTATTTTTTTTTTTAAAGGTTTTTATTTTATTTATGCACACAAGAACTGGGGTGCAGGCCAGAGGTGCGGGGGTGGGGAGGGGTGTGTGTGTGAGAGAATTCTCCAGAGACAGAGTGGGGAGGAGAAAAGGCAGAGCTACTGAAATACACTGCTAAGGGGATCAGTGGGTGAGACAGAAGAGCTCTGCTGCACCATGTGTGGGTTAGCTCCTTGGCCAGGGATCGAACTCAGGCCATAGTGGTGATAGTGCTGAGATTTAAACCCTAGGCCATGATGGCAGTGCCTCCGTTGTGCCAATTTAAAGTCCCACCAGCAATGCACAAGGTTCCCCCTTTTTCCACCTTCTTACCAACACTTGCTGTTTCTTGTCCTTTTTGAAAAGAATCTGTCCTCAAGTTTCATTCCTGTTGTCACAAATAGTAAGATATCCTTCTTGTTTTATGGCTGAAAAATAGCCATTGCCAGGGGCACCATATCAGAAAGACTATCCAGGATGATCTGTAATTTTGAGTTGTCCGGTGAAATGCCTCAGGCCACTTAAATGTGTTTATTAGACCAAACTGAATTCCAGATTAGGTGACTGGAAAAGAGAGTAGAAGGGAACCCAGACTGGAACAACAGGTTCCTCCAACTCAGACCAAGAGTCTCCAGGGAGATTCTTTCACTCTTTGAGGACAAAAATATATCTTCATGCTATGAATAGATTTTATTGAGTACTGAAAATGGATTCAAGGACGGAAAAGGCAGGTATGATTCTTGACATCAGGAAACCGATGGAATGTCTACTGGGGGAAACTTTAGAAAAATAATTGTACATAGTTAATTGTACAATTATATGCAAAATAATGTCAATGATAAGGCAAATTGTATTGATACTGGGGGAACCAGTAATAGAGGGCTTACCCAAGTCTGGGAGGGAGACTTTGAAGAGAGAGGGCTATGTGCACTAGACTCAGGGTATAAGAGTAAACTGATTAGAGAGAAGAGATCTGAAGAAATGTTTCTGGCAAAAGGACGAGGAACTGAAGGATGAATGGAGTGAGGCTTTTCCTGAGGTGCAAGCAGGGAGGGGGTAGTTCCAGAAGAACCAGTTACAGGCTTTGTTGAGGCTATAGAAAAACATTTGCTTCAATCTTTAAACAGCTCCTCCTGTCCTTACTAAGAATACTAGGCGCGAGAGCTATCTTGGAAACACTAATCTTGCTTCCATTTAAGACATACAAGTATTCCCACTTAAACACACTCAAGGCTTTCTCGCCCCTTCTCCACCACCCATCATTCTGCATGAAGTTAATCATTCCCCACCATGTCTTCTAACAAGATTTTCAAGTGATTCCTGATCAAGAAATTAAAGCAGAATTATCCCTAGTGGATTTGTATGAAAACTGGGAATAAAATCAGATACAATTCCAAGAGGAGACAATGGAGAAGACAAGCTGCGTCTTTAGGGAATCCCGCATAAAGTGACACACATATTAATGCTGTTATCAGGGTCACTAAGCATCTTTCCATATCATGCTGGAAACATTGCTACTATTAGGGCATTTTATTAATAAATGATTTTTCTCTCTGTATACTTCTGCACTACTAGGTTAGTTCAGTAATATATATGGGAGACCTTTTTGAAAAATATAAATAAACACATGCTAATCCATTAGCAAAGAACAACGGAATCTTCATACCTAGCACCCAACACACCTGGCACATAGTTTCATTTTATAAGTTGTGAATTCAAGAAACAGATGGCCTTTAAAGTGCTTTCGAAAGGGCCTCCCCGGTGGTGCAGCGGTTGTGCGCTGGGTTGCGAAGCTGCCGGCGACCTCTGCGGCGCCGGTTCGATCCCCGGCTGCTCCCCGGCCACCGGAGGAGGGTCCCACATGGCGCGCAGACCTCTCCTGCCGCCCGCTGCTCCCCTCAGCAGTGTACTTCGGTCCTTCTGCCTGCTCTGCTCCCCGCTCTGGCTCTGGTGAGTTCTCTCACCCTCCCGCGCTTCTGACTGTACCCAGTGCTTGTATAAACAAAACAAACAAACAAATAAATAAAACATGCCTCTATTAAAAAAAAATAAATAAATAAAGTGCTTTCGAAAGACATGTCAGAGGTAATTTCCCCAAACTAGGGACCAGTATTCCCTTCTTTGCATAGGTCTGTCACCACCTAAAGACCCTTCGGGCAGGTGCCCAGGGATTGGCAGCGGAACCTCGAGGAGGCGGAACTGCCGACGGGTAGCTCTGACATACCGGGGACTATCGCCAGTGAGGCACCGCCAGCCCGGAAGGAGCTGAAGCGAGTTGGGGCCGCGGCAGCCATCGCGCTTTATAGTTCGATCTCAGAGGGTGAAGGGCCGACGCCAAGCAAGGAATTACGTTCTCTCCAATCCCAGGTGAGTGGTGGCCTCGCTTCCAGGACAAGGGGCGAGCGGCACTGTGACCTCCAGGAAGGCACGCTTCGCGAACCTGAGCCCCGCCGGCGTCCTGCCGTGGCCGGACCAGGAAGGGGCTCCTGCTCTCCGCCCTGGGATCGGGCGGCGCGCGGGCTCCTTTGCTGTTTTGCTGGGGGCCGCTCAGGTGATCCACGGGGCATGACACCACTGCTGTCAAATGGTGGGTTATTCCAGGAAGGAACAAGATGACTCGAAAACTGCAGGCAAGCCCTTCCTTCCCCTCGGTTTCCTCAGCCAGTAAGGTGAAGGCGGTGGGGATCATTGACAGCACAGGAGGTTGTGACGCGGTGTGTGGTTTTCAGTTCTCCCAAATAACGTGGGGCACATGAGCTCCCTGAGTGGTTGTTAACGTCCTGCCACTGCCCAAGTTTCGGTTGAGTGGGAAAAAGATGTACTTCTGGTGGGGAACTGCAAGGATTTACAAATTGCTTAAAGATTTTTCCAATAAGGAGTTAGTTTTGATAACGACTAGAACTCTGATATTGTTGTACCCCAAAAAGAAAATCTCCAGGAATTTAAGGTATTTGGTATGGGCAGAATGAGGCGAAGAAATCCTTTTAACTTGAAAGGTAAATCCAAAAATTACCGACATATTCTCTTTTAAAGTTCTGTATTACCACTTATCTTACGAGAATGTTCAATGCTCAATGTTAAAATACCAGTTAGAGTAAGTCACAATGAAGCAAATAAGGTAAGGAACCTTGGTTTACTATGTATAAGGGGCTAGCTGTGTATGCAGCAGTCCACTGAGAAAGGTAGTAGTAAAACCTATGTTTTACAGGTGAAGAATGAAGACTTACAACTTGTCAGTATTAGTGTTGCTGATATATCAAAACAACGTGACTATCCTGTATTGTTTTAGTGGATTTGCATTCCTCACCAAAATATTCTGAACTTTAAAAACTTTCAGACAGTCCTTTGGCATTTTTGGAGTTTGCTTCGAAAAAGGAAGGTGTTAGCTTCATTTTAGGAATGTTAGGGAAGCATTGTCAATAATTATGTCAGATTAGCAGTTTAAATAAGGTACATTTTAACCTTCCTTTGCCTTGACCTTCAAGCAAGAATTGAAACAAAAGATTAGACTATCAGAAATGAGCATCACTGCCACATCATTTGAAGCTTACAAATCAGAATTCTACAGTAATGATTCATTATTTCTCCACCCTCTTCTTTAAGTACACCTGGCTGAAACTCATTTTTTTTCCCACAAGACATTACTGAGCAAGTAATTTTAAAATCAGTGTTGGAAGGTTTCTTTTCTTTCTGTATAGCTTTTAGAACAATTTCTAAAGTATTGTAAGGATTGAATTTGTCATTGCTTGTATTGATTCTTGTTTTCTTAATTCAGAACTCAGATTCACAACACTTTTATTTTGTCATATAGAGGATTTTCCCCTTTAAAAAAAATTCTATTTATATTGGTCACAGATTTATCCTTCTGTCAGTGGAGTGTCACTTTTTCCTAAGGGAAATTTGAGTATGTACTTTTTGTTGATTATAGGGACCAAAAGGTCTAGTTCCATTGCTATGAATTCAGTCCCAAAATGTTTTCTATTTGTATCACTGCTTTAAAACTTGAAAGCTAAAGAAAGAAAATCTAATAATATTAGGGGAGAATATTTATAAAGCACCGTTGTTTTGAAGCATTCAACAGTTACTGTCAGTCTTTAGTAATGCACAGTGCCTTGCCAAAATTCTACAAAACGTGGCTAGCAGTGTTTGGCCTTCTTTATATTTCTATTTGAGTTTGAGAAAGAGGAGTGCATAATTCCTAAATAACCTTACAGACAGCTTACATACCTTATGGTGTTTGTGCAAGGTTTCATCATAAACCTGAGAAAATTGGGTAAAAAATTATGATTGATCTTTTCTTTTTTTTTTTTAAATTTTCTAGAGGCATGTCTTATTTATTTATTTATTATTTGTTTGTTTGTTTGGTTTATACATGCACTGGGTACAGTCAGAAGCGCGGGAGGGTGAGAGAATTCACCAGAGCCAGAGCAGGGAGCAGAGCAGGCAGAAGGACCGAAGTACACTGCTGAGGGGAGCAGCGGGCGGCAGGAGAGGTCTACGCGCCATGTGGGACCCTCCTCTGGTGGCCGGGGAGCAGCCGGGGATCGAACCGGCGCCGTAGAGGCCGCGGGTAGCTTCGCAACCCAGCGCTCAACCGCTGCGCCACCGGGGAGGCCCATGATTGATCTTTTCTGATGAAATTTCTTAACTTGGGAGTTGAAGGAAACTACTCTAAGTGCATTTTTCTGGTAATAGTCGGTGATGGTGTTAACATTTAAAGTAATATCAGAATATCATTAAAAACTTTTTTCCCCACATTAAAAGGTGTTAATATTGCATTAATTTGAAAATTGGCATTTAAAATTTTGTGCTTTGAATTTTGTTTAGTCTGAATGAACTAATACCACCTTATTGTTTAGTATTCAAAGTTTTTATGTACATTATCATATTTAATCAGTCCTCTATCTCTGACGTGGGCTGCATTTTCATTATATATAGGAGGAAACTAGGCTCAGAAAGATTGGTTTTCCTAGAATGAAATAACTATTTTTCAAAAATGCATATTAAACCTACACTTTTTTTTTTTAAGATTTATTTATTTATTTACACAAGCCCTGGGTACAGTCAGAAGCGCAGGAGGGTGAGAGAATTTGCCAGAGCCAGAGTGGGGAACAGAACAGGCAGACTGATGAAATACACTGCTGAGGGGAGCGGTAGGAGAGGTCTGCGCGCCATGTGGGACCCTTGCTGGTGGCCCGGGGATCGAACCGGTGCTGCAGAGGCTGCGGGCAGCTTCGCAGCCCAAGCTCAACCACTGCGCCACCAGGAGAGGCCCTTAAACTTAACTACACTTTTTATAGTCTAAGTTTAAGTACTCCTTGGATATAACCACAGTTCTACCACACTTTGCTTCCCAAAATTATTAATATATTGATTCTATAATCCTAAGCTGATGTCAGATTTGCCTCTTTAGAATATTATAGCTTTTACTTTATCCCAGCACTACTTTGGAGTACTTCTATTTTTTTATTTTTAATTCTCCCCCTATCCCCCATACTTTATCTTGTCATCTTATGTATTTTTTTTAGAAGTTCATACCTAAATAGTTCTGCTAATTACTATCTAAACAAGTTGTAAATTTATAATTATTTTATAATAGTAACTAAATAGATAAATATCATAATTATACTTGTAAAGTGTTCTTAGTGTTTTTAGCATAGTCACAATGTTGTGCTGTCATCAGCACTGTCAAATTTCAGAACATTTTCGTTACGCTTTAAAGAAATTTGGTACTCATTAGTAGTCATGCCGCATTTCCCCTCCCCCCAAGTCTCATGACCACTAATCTACTTACTCTAAGGGTTTGCCTTTCTGGACATTTCATATAAATGGAATCATCCATATAAGTTAAATAGGACAAGGCTTTAAGAAGTTATTTGTAATCTGAGAGGTTCTGTTCCATTACATCCTTTGCACTGATTTTCACGTTACTTGAGTAGATCACTTTTCTAATCTGCATTGGGACTTTTCCTGTTTGGTGTTCATGCAATAAATAAATCTGCTGACGTGTATATGTTTCCTTGTTCTTGACCTTTGCTCTTTGTCAGTCTTAGTGTGTTCGTGGTGTTGTGTAACCTGTTCTCAGAACTCAGGTATCTGCTTGTGGCTAAATAATTTTTATTCTTAGTTGGGCATTTTTGCTTTTACTCTAAAATGACTAGTGACTTGTAGCTTGTTTTAAGGTTCCTAGAAACTGTGACTTTATAGATCTATTAATATCTCTATCTTCTAAAACAGAAACTGCTCTGCTCTCCTCCCCCCACCCCCCCACCCTTCACATACTATGTAATTAGATTGTTTTTCAGGGCACAAATTTTACAACAATAAACTGGGACTATCTTTATGCAAAATTCCCTTTTCCTTGCTGCATTCCACCCTCTCCCAGTCCTCTTAGCTCTCATCTACCACAGTCACCTTCAGCAAAGACTTTGTAGCTTCAGTCTTGCTTTTTATAGCCATACTTTCTATTCTTCTAGGTGATTCCACTGCCTGTCATTGTGGACCTTGTACCCTATAGCCAGGCTTCCTAATTCTTTCATCTCCAGTTCTCTTCTGTTCTGCATGCCACAATCACACCCTGAAACTTTGAAACTTGCCACCTTCTGATCATCATCTTTTTTTTTTTTTTTGGATCCAATTTATTTTGGGGGGGGGGAGCTATTTACTTTTTCCTCTCTTAAATTGTTGAACTCGTGTTCTCCACTTTGCTGGCACAATTCCTGACCCACCTTTTACTTCTCTCATCCTTTTACTACATTTATATCTGCTTCTCTGCTCAACACTTTTTATATATATGTAAAGGGCCTAGTACTGTGGGCTCTATAGGAGGAATAATAGCAGCTAACAGTGAATTGTTACTCCATGCCAGGTGCTAAATGTTTAGTGTGTAGTAATTTAATCTTTTTTTAAAAGGTTTTTTTTTTTAAAGATTTACTTATTTTTATACAAGAACTGGGGTACAGGCCAGATGTGAGGGAGGGTGAGAGGATTCACCAGAGACAGAGCAAGGAACAGAACAGGCATTCTGATGAAATACACTGGGAAGCAGTGGGCAAGAGAGGAGAGGTCTGCTTTGCCATGTGGGATTCTCAAGGGCCGGCCGGGATTGAATCCGTGCTGCAGAGGCTGCGGGCAGCTTCACCGTGCGGCGCTCAACCACCTGCGCCATCAGGGAGGCCCCTAAAGATTTATTTATTTATGCATACAAGAGCTGGGGTACAGGGCCTCCCCGGTGGCGCAGCGGTAGAGCGCTGGGTTGCGAAGCTGCCTGCGGCCTCTGCGACGCCGGTTCAATCCCCGGCTGCTCCCCGGCCACCGGAGGAGGGTCCCACATGGCGCGCAGACCTCTCCTGCCGCCCGCTGCTCCCCTCAGCAGTGTACTTCGTCCTTCTGCCTGCTCTGCCCCTCGCTCTGGCTCTGGTGAATTCTCTCACCCTCTCACGCTTCTGACTGTACCCAGTGCATGTATAAACAAAACAAACAAACAAGCAAACAAATAAATAAAGAAAAACATGCCTCTATAAAAAAAAAAAAAAAAAGAGCTGGGGTACAGGCCAGAGGTGCGGGGGAGGGGGGTAGTGATAATGAGAGGATTCACCAGAGACAGAGTGGGGAACAGAACAGGCAGACTGACTGAAATACACTGCTGAAGGGAGCAGCGGGCAAGACAGGAGAGGTTTGCTGTGCCATGTGGGTAGCTCTCTGGCTGGGAATTGAACTTGTGCTGCAGTGGCTGTGAATAGCTTCATAGGTTGATTTTTTTTTTTTTTTAGATTTATTTATTTATTTATGCAAACACTGGGTAGAGTCAGAAGCACGGGAAGGTGAGAGAATTCACCAGAGCGGGGAAACAGAACAGGCAGACTGACGAAGTACACTGCTGAGGGGAGCAGCGGGTGGCAGGAGAGGTCTGCGCGCCATGTGGGATCGAACCAGCGCTGCAGAGGCTGTGGGCAGCTTCGCAGCCCAGTGCTCAACCGCTGCGCCACCGGCGAAGGCCACATAGGTTGATTCTTTTTTTTTTTTTGATCTTTAAATTTTATTTATTTATTTATTTATTTTTACAAGCACTGGGTACAGTCAGAAGCGCGGGAGGGGAGAGAATTCACCAGAGCCAGAGCAGGGAGCAGAGCAGGCAGAAGGACCAAAGCACACTGCTGAGGGGAGCAGTGGGCGGCAGGAGAGGTCTGCGTGCCATGTGGGACCCTCCTCCGGTGGCCGGGAGCAGCCAGGGATCGAACCGGCGCTGCAGAGGCTGTGGGCAGCTTCGCAACCCAGCGCTCAACCGCTGCGCCACCGGGGTGGCCCCCCCATATGTTGATTCTTAACCCCTTGCACCACCAGGGAGGCCCAATTTAGTTAATCTTGACAATAACCATCTCAGGTAGCTATTATTATCCCTATTTTAGAGATGAGGAAAGTGAGGTAATTTGTGTAAGTAAGTGATAAAACTCTGGCTCCGGAGCTCCTGCTCTTTAACCTCTAGACAAAAATGCCCATAGGGGTTCAATAAATGATAGCTAGTATTTTTTGTAGGTTTTATGAAATCGGAAGACTGGTTCAGTATTGCTTTTTATATCCAAATATATAGGTAGCAAGCATGAAAAACAAATGCCTAAACCTGTTTTTCTTCTCAAACAATCTAGCAGCAAATAAAGGAAGGTACTTCACTTGGCAGATACAAAATGACTTTTTGTCTCTGTGTCTGCATTTAAAACAGATTTAGGTTCCCCATTGTTTTTTTTTTTTTTTATACATGCACTGGGTATAGTCAGAAGTGCGGGAGGGTGAGAGAATTCACCAGAGCAGAGCGGGGAGCAGAGCAGGCAGAAGGACCGAAGTACACTGCTGAGGGGAGCAGCGGGCGGCAGGAGAGGTCTGCGCGCCATGTGGGACCCTCCTCCTGTGGCCGGGGAGCAGCCGGGGATGGAACCGGCGCCGCAGAGGCCGCGGGCGGCTTCGCAACCCAGCGCTCAACCACTGCGCCACTGGGGAGCCCTAGGTTCCCCATTGGAACAAAAGGAAAAATAGACCAAAAAAGGAAGGGGAATCCTTTTAAACACATGCCCCTTTGCTACAGACCTGCAACAGATTTTTTTTTTTTTTCATTTTTAATGCACTACACAAACTGTGATCAGGTTAGAAAAGGGACAAGGGCTCCTCTTGCCTTTTTTTAAACCATTAAAGTAAAATCCATATTTTTCTACACAGTAGAACACAAGTTCACATAAATGAAGACATAAAAAAAAAATCAAAACAGAAAGGAAAAGCTCAAACAAGATAAAGGAAAAAGCACTTCTACCAGTGAATCTAGACTTTGAGTTATTGAATCCCAGTGCTGCTGGAGAACAGACTGTCAGATGCTTGGATTTAATCTCAGGTTTGTTATCACTCTGGCTCCTACCTCACTGTTTAGCACCCACTGACTTTTACTCTGTTTGCAGCCTCCTCACCCCAGCTTTATCATCTGATAGTACCTGACCTCTTGTATTCATTTGCTTTCCTCCTCTGCTTATGGTATGCCCTTCACAACCTTCTGGCAAATTCTTAATCTTCAAGAGTCTGGCTAAACGTCATCTAAGAAACCTTTCCTCATCTTCTTGCCACTTAGAACTATGGAAGTAGGACTTCGGATGTAGAGATAAGCAGGACTGGTTTTCTCTATTTTTACACATGATATATAGTGCATTTGTGAGCATGTCATACCTCTTCCTGTTGCATTTTTATATTGCTTTTATGTTTTTATGATTATTAAACCCCTAGTAGCTTATGATACACAGTATAGGCAATTTTTTTCTTTTGTATTCGTGTAAGTCTTAAAACTCTAATGGGTAAGTCATTACCATCCTAGATAACAGTCAGGTACTACTCAGTTTTAATGTTTTTTAGTAATACTATATTTGTGTGAATAACTTATTACTCTTGATTATGACCTTTCTGAAAGAGTGAGCTGTGTTTATCATCAATATTTGTTTTCCATCTGAGTCTTCTACCTCAGGCCCTTGGACATAATATGAGTTCAGTAAATATACATTGACTTGAGTAAACTATTTTAGCACACTATTGCTCTATTTGATTCTCTACAGTAAAAATTAACAATTCTTTTTGAAAAACATACCATACTTAAAAGTCTTCAGAAAAGATGAGCAGGTCCCTTGTATATATTTTCTCAGACTACAGGTTTCAATTTCTACATGACCTAGAGTGATAATAGATGGTATCATTTCCCATGAATAAAATAATACCTTCTTAGATATGAGATTTGTGTACATATGTAACAGTTATATACTGACACAAGAAACTGTTCATACTTTGCCACTCTTTTAATCATTAATTACTGGTTGCAGGAACAAAATTCTGCCCATGCTAGTCCAAAAAAATAGTGCGAGAAAAGGGGAGAGGCTAGTGCCAGGATCCGGGGAGTTTCCTACTAAATACTGCTAGGCCTTGTACAGTCTGGAAGAAGGCTGTCTCTTTCTCTCAGTGAGTATCTCAGTGACAGTGACACCTTATCTTCTAGGAATTCAGAGTATGGTGGGCCTAGCTTTGTCAACCTTGGCACCCTACTGGAGTGAGAGGTTGAACAAAGAAGTGTTGTATCATACTGTCTAAAAACTATCAAACTAGCACAACCCTTTAAACTCTTTGGACTTGGTCCAAATTTTGGGCCTGGGTGCTTTTGTTTAGCTCTAGAAAATTAATTTAGTTGATTTGAATGTCTGTTTCTATATATATATATGATCTTTCTTTTCTCAAGAAGTTTTTTTTTCCCTTATTAACCCTAGTTATTTATCAGGCACATGTCAAGTAAATCCTGAATTGGACTACAGTCACACAATACTTTAACAACAGAGATATATTCTGAGAATTGTCTCATTAGGCAAAATCATCATTGTGGGAACATCATAGAATATATTACACAACTTCGCTGGTATAGCCCACTACACACCTAGGATACATGGTGCTTCCTGTTGGGATCACGATTGCGTATGGGGTTTGTCGTCGACCCAAACACTGTAATTTAAGAAGTTTATTTTTAAGAGATTTAAAAAAAACATCCAGTAATATAAAATTTGAAAAAACTAGGGCCTCCCGGTGGCGCAGCGGTTGACCGCTGGGTTGCGAAGTTGCCTGCAGCCTCTGCAGCGCCGGTTCGATCCCTGGCTGCTCTCTGGCCACCAGAGGAGGGTCCCACATGGCGCACAGAACTCTCCTGCCGCCCACTGCTCCCCTCAGCAGTGTGCTTTGGTCCTTCTGCCTGCTCTGCTCCCCGCTCTGGCTCTGGTGAATTCTCTCACCCTCCCGTGCTTCTGACTGTACCCAGTGCTTGTATAAATAAATGAATAATAAATAAATAAATCTTTTTAAAAAATTTGAAAAAACTAGAAAGATGACAAACCCATAAGTTTCCACTGGGTACCAACTACAAAAGACTGGAAGGGGGAAAAAAAGGAAAGAAAAAGGGGTTTTACTCCACATGGGTGTTATTAGACTTGGAAGCTTATTATTTCATTATCATAATTTTCCTTTCTTCTCTGTTCCCTCTGTTCTTACGCTTACCCCACTGAAGGATCTGGTAAGCCATATATACTATAATTTATTTAGTTTATTGTTGAACAAAAGTTATTTCCAACACTTAAGTAACACTTCAATACACGTTTTTATACATAAAGATTTTTCATACTTAGGACAGTTTCTAAAAGTAGAATTCTTGGGTCAAATGGTATCAACAGATATATTATTACCAAATTGGTTTTGAAAAAGAACTGGGCAATTTTGTTGCCATTAATAATGCCCCCCTCCCCCTTTTAACCTCTAGCCATGGCTCTTTTAATTCCTTTTCATGTTTGCTACTTTAATGGGTAAAGCATGGTCTCTACTTGATATTCCAATCACTTTTTAATGCGTCAATATAAACCACTTTAGATCATCCTAGATAAGAGTGTTTAACTCTTTGCAATAAGATTGTTATAGGATTAGTTAGACTTAGTGTTTGATGTTGATTACTAAACTCAAAATACTTTTTTTTTCCAGACACTGTAAGATTTGGATATGTCCTTCATATTTGACTGGATTTACAGTGGTTTCAGCAGTGTGCTACAGTTTTTAGGTAATGTTGGCCCTATGTTCTCTATTATCCCATTTAATGTTATTTTAGTAGTGCTTATTTGTCTAGAGCCTCTTTTATATAGAAACAGTTATAAACATGGGCTTTGAAATCATACAGACATGTTCAGTTACTCATGTATAGGGAATTAATTATGTTAAATTTTGTAATCTTAGGCAAGTTACTTTTTCTACCTTAGCCTTTATTTCCTTATCTATAAAATGGGAATTGATTCCTGTATCATAAGGTTAATAGGAATATTACTAACAGGAATAGCTATCATTAGCATGCAGCTGAAGTGTACCCAGGGACTCCAAACTATTAAGGGGTACAGCTCTAAAAGGAATTTGACCATCTGTGTGCACAAAGGCAAAGGAAGCATACTCTTAAGGTGAAGGATTTTTAATAGAATTAGTGTACACAGACATAAGCAAAGGAAGGATATGCACTGCTGATGGGAGTGCAAACTGGTCCAAACACTATGGAAAGCTGTGTGGAGATTCCTCAACCTACTAAAGATAGAGCTTCCATATGATCCAGCAATTCCACTCCTAGGTATTTACCCAAAGGACAAAGAAGCATTAATTACAAAGAGCACCTGCACCCTTATGTTTATAGCAGCACAATTTACAATAGCTAAGCTTTGGAAACAACCCAAATGCCCAAAAATAGATGACTGGATCAAGAAGATGTGGTACAGGGCCTCCCTGGTGGTGCAGCAGTTGAACGCTGGGCTGCGAGGCTGCCCGCAGCCTCTGCATGTGGTACATATACACAATGAAATATTACTCAGCATTCATAAAAGATAAACACATGCAATTTGCAGCAACATGGATGGAGCTGGAATGGATCATGCTCAGCGAAATAAGCCAGAAAGAAAAAGAAAAATATCGGATGGTCTCACTCATAACAGGAATCTAGAAAACCTAAATAAGGGACCGGAAAAAGAATAACTATAAGAAAGGAAAAAAGTCAAAATCAACAACTATGAACCAGAGACACACTTGGGGGCGGGGGGTGGCGGGGAAAGGAGGGATTGGGGTCAAAATCGGGGTTGCAATTGTATGGGGAATATAAAAATTTAAAAAAAAAGGTATTTTACTTTATAATAAAACTATCCAAAAATGATATTAAAAAAAAGGAGAAGGAAGGATATTCGTAACACAACTCTGAAAATTACCCATCTCCTCATGGGCATATGACCAGCTAAATCAGTTCAGCCCAAAGCAGGGCCATTGAAACCTGAAAGCTTACCACAAGTCTGAGTTACCTTCTGATAGGGAAACAAAAGAAAGAACTTAGGCAGGTCCCAGAGAACTGGGACAGAAGGAAAAACAAAAAATTCAAAAAGTACAAATTGAGGTAATGGCTGCCACTGTCTCTGCAAGGGACAGCTTCCCCACTTGTCTCTTTAACGTGCGTCTTTTCCAAGTATTTCTTCCAAGAGTCTCTGCAAGTCTCTCCTTCACGTGTGTCCTCCAATCTCCTTCCCAGCAGTAACAGAGATCAAATTGGGTGCAGAAGCAAAAGCGAGATGGGCCTGCCTCCTGCCTTTCATGTTATAGGTCCTCTTGGCCGCTCAATTCCTTCCTAAGTTCCCAGTAGCTCCCCTGTTCAGGAAGTCTGGTGCAAGGCACACTGGGACTTGTAGTCCAAGGCAGCTGCACGTAAGTGAAGGCAGGAAAGATACATCCATTCTATCCTCCTCCTTCTTGTAGCACTACCATTTATTAATCAGTTTACTTAAGTCCTGCACAGTCTGTATTGGAGTCTTGCAATATACTTACAACATGAGTGTGTGGAGGCTTCCCCACACCAATAGGTATGGTGTCCTAGAATTTAATTAAATTCTGACACTGCCTACCCAAAGGGAGGGTTAGATTCCACAGGTTTCAGGTTTCTCAAACTCCAAAGGTCTCACTTCATCCTCCCTGGGGTGTTACTTGGACTTCTGGTAAGCCCTTAATAGGCTGGAGGTTACCATGACCTCTTCAGATTTCAGATACCAGCAGTAAGCCCACGGTGTTACCTGTGCTTCTGGTCAGTTGGTTAGAAGTCAAGGGTTTCCATGAACCCTTCCTCAGGCTCAGTTAATTTGTAAGTACAACTCAACTCAGGAGACCTATTTACTTACTGGATCCCCGATTTATTTCAAAGGATATTATTCAGGACAGATGGAAGAGATGCATAAAACAAGGTATGGGAAAAGGGTCCATGCCCTATTCCAGCATGCCCTTCTCTTCAAATCTCTACATGTTCACTAACTTGGAAACACTCTGACCCTCCTTTTTGGAAGCTGCAGTATGTAAGCATGGTTGCTTTACTCGCTGACCATTGGGGCCATCTGCAGTTGAACGCAACCTCTATCTAACCCCTCTCCCCTCTCCTCCCTCAAGCACTGAGTGTTGGGATGTGAAGTTTCAATTCTTCAATCCTAAGGGTAGTTCTCCAGGCCACCTTCTTAAGTACTTTCCAAAAAGCCACTTTCATTAACATAACTCTTCATTAACATATCACTCTCAGCACTTAAGAACTGCCAAAGCTGGGGCCTCCCTCGTAGCGCAAGGGGTTATGACACAACCTATGAAGCTCACTGCAGCCACTCCAGCACAAGTTCGATCCCGGCCAGGGAGCTAACCACATGGCGCAGCAGACCTCTCCTGGCTCGCCTGCTGCTCCCCTCAGCAGTGTATTTCAGTCAGTCTGCCTGTTCTTTTCCCTGCTCTGTCTCTGGTGAATCCTGTCACGCCCCCAAAACTCTGGCGTATACCCCAGCTCTCGTATGCATAAATAGATAAATCTTTTAAAAAAAAAAAAAAAACTGCCAAAGCTTTTGGGAACTGTGATCCAGGAACGGAATGAAGGCCAGATACGTAATATGAGAAACACAGTCTGGTTATTTGAATGACCAAATTTTTTCTTATAAATCACAATATTGCACATGCTTTATCAAATTTAATCTTCACAGAAATCCAGTGTATTCTTTTTATTATAAAAAATGCATGTTCCATAAAATACCTTGATAATATAAATGGCAATTTATAATATGCTAAATGAGACTTGCTCATCCAGCAGTTCGGACTGGTGATTTTCTTCTGTAGGCTTTAAAGATAGGAAGATTCTTAGCTTCTCATTCTTTTACTGAAACCATTGATTTGTGACACTTTTCAGTGAAACAAGCTTTGGATTGGGATCTACACATTATTGCAATACTTAGTGAAAATATTCCCTTCTTCCTGGCTAATGTTGTCCTTAGTTTAGTCTCCATGTGATCATCATGTAGTAAACTGGCAGAAAAAGCATTCATATACTTAAGAGTGATCAGCAATTATAAACTGACTTACATCTGTACTCCTTTAATTAGTATTTCTTGCACTACAAATATAATCTTGGAGGCCTCCCTGGTGACCTAGGAGTTAAGTCTCAGCGTGCTGACATGGTCCACTGAACTGGCCTGAGTTTGATCCCCTGCCAGGGAGCTAACCCACATGGCTCAGCAGACCTCTCCTGTTTCACCTGCTGCTCTCCTTAGCAGTGTATTTCAGTAGATCTACCTGTTCTGCTCCCCACTCTATCTCTGGTGAATCCTCACATCCCTACCACTGGGCTACTCCCTAGTTGTTTTTTTTTTTTTTTTAAGATTTATTTATTTATTTATACAAGAACTGGGGTACAGGCCAGATGCGCAGGAGGGTGAGAGGATCACCAGAGACAGAGCAGGGAACAGAACAGGCAGACTGACGAAATACACTGCTGAAGGGAGCAGCGGGCATGACAGGAGAGGTCTGTGCGCCTTGTGGGACCCTTGCCAGCCGGCTGGGATTGAACCGGTGCTGCAGAGGCTGCAGACAGCTCCACAGTGCTGCACTCAACCACCTGCGCCACCAAGGGATGCCCCACTCCCTAGTTTTTCTAAGCAAAAATAAATAATTTTTTTTTTTAAAAAAGGACCTTCCTGGTGGCGCAAGGGGTTAAACTCTGCACTATGAAGCAGTCCACAACCTCTGCAGCACAAGTTTGATCCCCGGCCGGCCAGGGAGCAACCCACATGGCACAGCAGACCTCTCCTGATTTGCCCTCTGCTCCCCTCAGCAGTGTACTTCAGTCCATCTGGCTGTTCTGTTCCCCACTCTTGTCTCTGATGAATCCTCTCACCCCCGCATCTCTGGTCTATACCCCAGCTCTTGTATGCATAAATAAATAAATCTTAAAAAAAATTAAAAACAGGGGCCTCCCTGGTTGCACAAGGGGTTAAGTCTCGGCATTATGAAGCCATCAGCAGCCACTGCAGAACCAGTTTGATCCCTAGCCAGGGAGCTAACCCACATGGTGCAGCAGACCTCTCCTGTCTTGCCCATTGCTCTCCTCAGCAGTGTATTTCAGTCAGTCCACCTGTTCTGCTCCCCACTCTGTCTCTGGTGAATCCTCTCACACCCCACACATACCTCTGGCCTATACCCCAGTTCTTGTATGCATAAATAAAATTTTTAAAAAGTACCATTTCAGTGAGGGACATCAGTAATGGGACACTGTACATGTGTAGGGATGGGATATATATATGAGAAAACTGCTCTTTAATAAATGGATTTGAAAAATTAAATCTTGATAGGGAATTTTACAGTTCAGTGCCAGTCTGCTGTAAATCAGTCAGTGCTGTCTTTTCTATTTATCACTTTATCTGTCAGTGCCTGGTTAGTATGTCTAAAATTATATGCTTGGTTTTTTATTTGTTGTTGTCATTTAGTGTTATGCAGTTATGTGAATAGTTTAACCTTATTCTCAGGCAAATTTGACAATGAAGCAAATTTTTTATTAAAAAAAATGGTAGACTTTTATTGTTGAAAACAATTTATATTCACCCATGAGAAATCTCTTTTAATTTTTCTTTTGGTCTAGCTTCATTAATACATGGTATCAGGTAACTTAAGAGTGTTTATCTAATATTAGTATAGCACAGTCATTTACCCTAAAGAGTCAAGGAAATCAGAGTTTTGGCATTATAGATAAGTTAGGTAACATATATTCTGTTGATTGAGGCAACATTTAGTTGTATAATGACTTAAATTTTAAAATCATATTAAAGTTAAAATAGCTCTTCAAAACTGAAAATAGATTAGAAATTCAAGCTTATTCAGGCCCATTAAAAAAATTTCAGAAGTCCAAAAGTTCAATAAGGGTTTCTTTATCAAAAATCTAGAGTAAGTAGGAAATATATATAACTAAATGGTAAATATTATTTTATACTTTTATTTAAAGTAATTTTTATTTGGGTAATCTTTGTCAGATATCTCGTTGACTAACTGTAGCTTACTCTGCAGGGCTATATAAGAAAACTGGTAAATTGGTATTTCTTGGATTGGATAATGCAGGAAAAACCACATTGCTACATATGCTAAAAGATGACAGACTTGGACAACATGTCCCCACATTACATCCCAGTAAGTATATTCCTGGATGCAGTGTACTACTTTATCGGGTGATACTGATTATCAAGTGCTAATCAAAAGTTTTCTGTTTGAGACTTTTTATTGGTAGCCCTATGATGATCGGGTAGTCTGACCTGTTCTGAAAATAGTACAGTAAAATAGTAAGTGATCCAACTCATAGGGAACATATCTATATCTTGAAATAATATTTATGTCTTCTTTTTTTTAATTCAGTATTCCCTTCTCCAGCTAGAAAAATTAAAAAATTAATATCTGAGGAGTTATGACATGATTGAGGTCTACCCAATCAGACATTGCTTAGGGTATAGTGACCATCCATTACCTTATTTATATAGCCTGAATTTTTTTCAAATTTTCAAATTGCTATTTCAGTTATTAATTCATAGGACTGGTTATTGTCTTACAGTTCATTGGATATTCTCAAGTACTGGTTTTTTTTTAAGTTTTAAAAATTGTTTTCTTATTTTTCTAGTCCTGATAACCTAACCAATATCTAGTATAGAAACTAAAGAATTATTTCAAAAAACAGGGTAAACATTGATACACTTATAGAAAACTTTGTAAAAATTAAAAGTAATCTGATGTACTTTAAGAAAGACCACTTGGAAGACACTAGAAATCACTTAATATATACCATCCTGTGTATAAAGTTGTAGAATATATACTGTTTGAGAAAGTAAAGCTAGTGTTAAAGGGCCTCCCCGGTGGCCCAGCTGTTGAGCGCTGGGTTGCGAAGCTGCCTGCAGCCTCTGCAGCGCCAGTTCGATACCCGGCTGCCAGGCGAGGGTCCCACGTGGCGCGCAGACCTCTCCTGCTGCCCGCTGCTCCCCTCAGCAGTGTACTTCGTCAGTCTGCCTGCTCTGCTCTCCCCTCTGGCTCTGGTGAATTCTCTCACCATTCCACACTTCTGACTATACCCAGTGCTTGTATAAATAAATAAATAAAAATCTTAAAAAAAAAAAAAAGGCTAGTGTTACAGTGACAAAGTTATAGAAACAGACACATATAAATGACCTTACTTTACAGCTGAACACTACAAATCTGATAGGCACAGAGTTTACAGACAAGTTAATCCATTTTAATTTTGAAAAAATAGTGCGGCCTTATTAAATGAGTAGAAAATAGAATTAGACCAAAAAGTAGGTAATATGACAATTATTCAGCAAATAGTCTAATAAAAAACAGAAACAATAAAACAAAGTAGCATTTATTCTATGAAACTACTAGTAAGTGAAGTTGGAAAGCAAAATTGATAAAATTGATTTTTTTAATATTAGAAGAGAATGGGGCTTGGCATGTTAAGATTCTGACACAAGAACAATACTATCAAAGGAAAAATGATCATATATGAAATTGTTTGCAAAACCAGCAGAATTGGAAGATACCACAAAGTGGTCTTATATTAGGTGTTAGTCATCTTTTAATTTTTTAAAGTTGCTTCCTTTATTCAGTCAATATTTATGAGCACCTTCAATATGTCAAGCCTTGTTCTAAGTACCAAAAGTAAAATCAGTGGCACAAAATAAATGCTTTTTACCTTCTGACAGTTTGTACCCATTTCAAGTTACATTTTTCAATTAATCAAAGCACCCTATGATGTGTAATTCCACTCCTAGGTATTTATCCAGGAGAAATGAAAATGTGTTCACCAAAATTCTTGTACAGTAATGGTCATGCCCCTTTATTTGTGATAGCCCAAAACTGGAAATACCTCAGATGTCCATTTAAAAAATAATTCATAAACAATGGGATTCTACTCAACAAGAAAAAGGAATAAACTCTTGCTTAAAAAAACTTGATGCATACTATACATTGCATGTAAGAAGCTGCTAAGAAAATTTACTATTTGATGCTATTTACATGAAATTATAGGATTGGCAAAACTACCATGAGGTGACAGAATTCAGATCAGTGGTTGCTTCTGAAAGTGGAGGGGGTGACAGACTGGGAAAGGGGAAGAAGAAATTCCTGGGATATTAACAGTGTTCTTTATCTTAATCAAATTGGAACTTTTTTTGTAAATCAGTGGGGATTTATAACTATAAAGGTAGTTTACCAATCACATATAAGCATTGTTTTTTCCTTATGAATAGTGACTTGGAACATAAATAATACTATTCATTCAGTTGTCAGGCCTGCATACAGATTTTTTTTTTAAAGATTTATTTATTTATACAAGAACTGGGGTACAATCAAAAGCGCAGGAGGGTGAGAGAATTCACCAGAGACAGAATGGGGAACAGAACAGGCAGATCTACTGAAATACACTGCTGAGGGGAGCAGCGGGTGAGACAGGAGAGGTCTGCTGTGCCATGTGGGAATCTCCCTGGCTGGCTGGGATCGAACCCGCGCTGCAGAGGCTGCGGACAGCTTCACAGTGCTACACGCAATCTGCTGCGCCACCGGGGAGGCCCTGCATACAGATTTTTTTTAACAAGATAAATTAGGGCCTCCCCGGTGGCGCAGCGGTTGAGCGCTGGGTTGCGAAGCTGCCCGCGGCCTCTGCGGCGCCGGTTCGATCCCCGGCTGCTCCCCGGCCACTGGAGGAGGGTCCCACATGGCACGCAGACCTCTCCTGCCGCCCGCTGCTCCCCTCAGCAGTGTACTTTGGTCCTTCTGTCTGCTCTGCTCCCCGCTCTGGCTCTGGTGAATTCTCTCACCCTCCTGCGCTTCTGACTGTACCCAGTGCATGTATAAACAAAACAAACAAACAAATAAATAAAGCATGCCTCTATCAAAAAAATAAATAAATAAATAAAGTTAACATGATAAATTATTCTGGGGCCTCAGGTAATATTGAATAGTTAACAATTACACTGAACTTTTCATTGTAGTTGTACGGCCTCTCACTTTTGGCCATGTATGATTGTAACAGAGTTTGGAATTATCCTCCCACTGTAAATGACCAGAAAACTAGACAAAAATACATACACAACTATTTTCAGATATTGGTAGTAGCTAGCATAGGACTGTTACTCTGGAGAAAAGGAAAACAAACCTTTCTGTATTCAAGCTTTATCACAGGAAATAATTTTCAGACCATTGTGCAGGGAGGAAAACCCAAATATAACCCAGTTGTCTTGATCAGATGAGATAGAAACCAGAATTTAGGGATATTGAAGTGATTATAAGTGATTGGGCTGTGTAAGAGAGGAAGGAGCTCTGCAGAGAAAGAACTCCATAAATTTATGTGACTGAAAATCTATGCATGCATAGGGTAAAACTCTACATGATCAGTCATAGAACAATTTCTGGAAAAAGATTAATTACAGGGAACATGTTAGCCATATAATTCCCAGAGCTCACATAGAACTGGGAATCATTCTCTTCTCATCAGCCAGAATGGAGAGACCTATTTGAATACATAGCATTCAAGAGAGAATCCAAAAGTACCCTAATACACTAATGAGGCTAGAATAACCTCAAAATAAAGGCTATGTTAGATTTGTCCTGAACTACAAATTTTACTACCTGACAAAACAAAATTAATCCCTCTTCAAAAGAATACAACAAAATCTATTATCAATCAAAAAGTACTAGACATGTGGGCCTCCCCAGTGGTGCAGCTGTTGAGCGCTGGGCTGCGAAGCTGCCCACAGTCTCGCAGCGCCGGTTTGATCCACAGCTGCCCAGCAAGGGTCCCACATGGTGCGCAGACCTCTCCTGCCTTGCCCGCTGTTCCCCTCAGCAGTGTACTTTGTCAGTCTGCCTGTTCTGCTCCCCACTCTGGCTCTGGTGAATTCTCTCACCCTCCCGTGCTTCTGACTGTACCCAGTGCTTGTATAAATAAATAAATCTTTAAAAAAATAAAAAAGTACTAGACATGGGCCTCCCTGGTGGCACAAGTGGTTAAGCACAGCACTGTGAAGCTATCTGCAGCCACTACAGCACAAGTTTGATCCCCGGCTAGCCAGGGAGCTACCCACATGGCGCAGCAGACCTCTCCTGTCTTGCCTGCTGCTCTCCTCAGCAGTGTATTTCAGTCAGTCTGCCTGTTCTTTTCCCTGCTCTGTCTCTGGTGAATCTTCTTACCTGCCGCAACTCTGGCCTATACCCCAGTTCTTGTATGTATAAACAGACAGATATTAAAAAAAAAAAGTACTAAACATGCAAAGAAGCAGGAAAATGTGATCCATAACCAGGAGAAAAATCAACCAGTAGAAGCAGACCCAGAATTACAAAGATGATGGAATTAGCAGATATGTTAAAGCAACTGTGTATTTCAGAGGATCCACCTGTTCTGCTCCCCACTCTTATCTCTGGTGAATCCTCTTACCACCCCAGCTCTTGTATGCATAAATAAATATAATAAATCTTAAAAAAATACAAACTAGTATGTATATTGCTCAAGGATTTACATGTACATAATGAGAGAAGATATAAGACCAGAACAAAATGGAACCTCTGGAAATGAAAATACAGTATCTGACATGAAATTTTCATTGGTTAAGATTAATGACCAATTAGACGGTGCAACAGTACAGAAGGATAGGCCATTGAATTTCAGTGGTGATAATGGAAGCTATTTGGAATGAAGCACAGAGGGGAAAATGACAAAAATGAACAGACTCAGTGACTTGTGGGATGATATCAAGCAGTCTGACAAACTTAGTTTTGAAGTTCCGGTGGGGATTGGCAGAAAAAATATTTGAAGAAATAATGGCCAAATCTTTTATTATAACTGTCTTTAAAGGCTGTCACCTGTGAAAATTGATAGCCATGAGAGGAAACTTATTTCACTGAACCTGTCATTGTAATTATAGATTTCTGCTTTTGGCCATGAGGAAGTAACAGTCTGGAATTAACCTTCCCACTGTAAATGACCAGAAAACTATACAAAAATATATATAACTCTTTTTGATATTGGGTAATAGCTAGTGCGAGACTGTGATTCCTGAGAAAGAAAACACATCCCCCTTCACACAAGCTTTATCATTGTAAATATCATTATTTTTGCATCATTTCAGATGAAATACATGAAAAAATATTGGATTGGGCAGTTACTTGAATTCACAGCAAAGATTTGTCTGAATAGATTAACATTTCAGCAGGAGAAATAGAGAAGGAAAAATAAGTGTTGGATTTGTGGTAGGTAGTGAATGTTATTACTTGTGTTATAGTGTCAATTTGAATTAGAATATATTTAATAAAAAGAATTCTGAATGTTTGATTTGATCTTATTTGCAATTAAAGCCAAACATTAAATTTATATACCATGAATGAATTTCTGATTTTCATATTGTAAATACGTTTGTATTATTATTTAGCTTCAGAAGAATTAACCATTGCTGGCATGACCTTTACAACTTTTGATCTGGGTGGTCATGTTCAAGGTAAGATTCTATTACTTTTATAGTTGCTTTTATTTCAGTAAAAAAGTGGCCATTATGATCCAGTGCTTGAAATCTCATTCTAGTCAATGAAGACCAGAATAGCCTTAAAATTTAGGATTTATTATTGCCTCACAAATGCTTTAGAAAGCAAAGATGATTTTCATGACCGTCTTAGTCATTTTAAGTCTGAATTGCTTTTGGTGGTCAAATATTGAGTAAAATTTAGTTTTCACTCTCGACTCCCAATCTACCACTCACTTGTCATAATCTTGTTATGAACATATGTGCTCCTTATTCAAAACCTTCAGTGGCTAACTTATCATCTACAAAATAAAAACCAGAGTTACTGACCTGGCATTTGGCATCCCTATGATCTAATCCCAGTTTACTTTCAAGTCTTTATTTCCCATTGTTCCCCTTCCTATTCTCCACCGAAACCAGACCCTCTTCTTGTCTTCCATAAGCTCTTTGCTTTTGCTCATTCTAAGCCATCTGCACGAGTAACCCCAGCTGCTGGGCCAGGGGCTCCCTCTCCTGAGAAGTCACTCCCAGCTATGAGTGCTCTCAGCTATATTTCTGTAGCACTCACTGTTGTGTGCACATGTCTACAAGCTGGGAAAGACCCCTATACTAAATTTTCTGGCACTAAAATCTTAATTATTTTTTATATTCCCAAAAGGACTTGATAGTACCTAGCATGTAGTAAGTCATAACTATTGAATATTACCAAATTGGTGGGCCTTCTAAAAACCTAGTATTAGTTGAAAAGATTTTAAATTTAAATGGTTATGGCTAAAGCATGAGACATGTAATTATAGTTTGAAATAAACATAAATTTCTGGAATTAGCAATCAATGGAATGTGTCTGAGGCTTCATTTCTATATTATTTTTAGCACTGCTCATAAAACTCAAGTTAGAGAAAAAAATTATTTTCCACTGGGGTACTCATAAAACTCTTTTCTCCTCTAACCAAAAAAAAAAAAAAAGGTGGTCATGGGGAAAATTACCTTAATGGTTTCACAGACTTTAATTCCTGTCATGAGTACAATCATTTGCTTTGATTATCTCATGTAACACACATGCACTTGGTAATAATTTCCTTCTGCCGCTGACTCTTAAGTTTATCTGCCCCAAAACTGATAAATGAGAAATGTGGAAAAATATTTCTAGAGTGGTTCTCCAACAATAAACTTAATATGCATCATCATCCATTGGTAGCAAATATTGTAACATGGGAAACTAGGGCAGAGTAAATTATTTGATCTACTTATAATTAAGGGAAGCCTGAAATTTCTTCTGGGAAGATTTTGCAATATTGGGTAAAAGATTAGCTATTAGTATGTATTGATCCTTCACTACATACACAAGTTAAAGGATAACGACATCTTACTGAACTCTTCCATCAAACCATCTACTAGGTTTGACCAGCAAATAAAATCTAACTCCTGATTGTTTTTGTTAGCTCGAAGAGTGTGGAAAAACTACCTTCCTGCTATCAATGGCATTGTATTTCTGGTGGATTGTGCAGACCATGAAAGGCTGTTAGAATCAAAAGAAGAACTTGATGTAAGTTAACTAATTAAAACTAAACAAAGTTGAATCACTCTGATAAGCCTAATAGGTTGGAAATAGTTTGGAGCTCTATCTATAGAATTGCAGTGTTTCTGCAGGCTTAATGTAACTCCTGGCAATTTGTCTACCTCAGTGATTATGTAGAATACAGAGGAGTAGCTTGGAGTAATTATAGCTATTGAGGAAGTGCAAACAGTCTGCTTTCCTGAAGACTTAAGGAGCTCACTCTGCAAGTGCACCCTTGAAGTAGATTTCATGTCTGCTCCATCCCTCAGTGATTGGTCTTGAGTCCCTGATCATCCTAGGATGCCAGTTTCTTCAGGAGTTGGCCAGGACTTGGAAATCTTTGTAACAAACCATCTTTGTGAATACTGTCAGAAGACAACAGGGCTATGTGGAAACACCGCCTCTCCTCTCCCAGGTCAGGTAAAGGGAGCATCAGGCAAGGCCAGTGTTAGAGCTGAGACTACGGAAAAAGTTGGTCCATTATTTGACTGAAGTTTGGCCTGATCATGCCTCTGTCCATAGGAGACAAATACTGTTTCACTTGGAAAAGTCCAGGTAGGTTCTGTGGTCATGAACAGGGTTCAGGTTGTTCCTGAATTCTTAGTGTATACCAGGCACCATGCAGTTTACCTATTTTAATTCTTGAGTTAGCTCCATAAAGTAGGTGCTACTATTCCAAATTCTCTCCCAGCTCTAGTGAAAATTAGGTGTCTTACGATCTCGCAACTTGGAAGCAGCACAAGCAGAAATGAAACCAGTTCTGCCCACCTCCAAGGTGTTGGTTCTAGTCACTGTACCTCACTGATTCAGAGTGAGCATTTACAGATGGAGCCTTAGGCAGGAGAACTGTGTTATGTCTGCATTGGACTCACTTTAAAATGTAGGGAAAGTATGCCAGAGGAAGTTGGTAAAACTGACATAATTATAGGGCCTCCCCCGTGGCGCAGTGGTTGAGCGCTGGGCTGCAAAGCTGCCCTCAGCCTCTGCAGTGCCGGTTCGATCCCCGGCCACCGGGCTCTGCCTGTTCTGTTCCCCATTCTGGCTCTGGTGAATTCTCTCACCCTCCTGCGCTTCTGACTATACCCAGTGCTTGTATAAATACATAAATCTTAAAAAAAAAAAAAAAAAAAAGACATAATTATAAAGTAATAAGTCCTTGATGCCCATTTGGTATCCCATCAGATGGTTTCAACCTTTAGATGGTTTCTCATCAACACCTGCTCTTTCGCTTTCAGTCACTAATGACAGATGAAACCATTGCTAATGTGCCTATACTGATTCTTGGGAATAAGATCGACAGACCTGAAGCCATCAGTGAAGAGAGGTTACGAGAGATGTTTGGTTTATTTGGTCAGACAACAGGAAAGGTAAAAAGAAATTTTGCTTTTGACAAATGTATTTCCTCCAGTAGTACAAATGTCTTTTAAAATCACTATTGTTCATTTACAAAAGCTCACTACCTTTTTCTTTAAAACAAAGAAAACCAAAAACTGATTTATACACTTGGGTCTTTATGTCCTAATTTGTTTTCTTTTTCCCACTTTTGAAGCCTTTTCTTGATTCTAAAATGTCAAAGTTCATGCTTAAGGTTAACTTAATGAAAGCTTTCAAAGTTTCATTTTTCATAAATCTTCAGAATTAGCTACCAAATGGTATACTTTAATCATAGCAGTATTTATGCCACTAGCTCTGTATTTAGGTACTGAGTTCACTAGAAATATAAATGCAAAAATAGGAGTGGGAGGGGTTTCTGAAACTTTATATTAAGTTCCAAGATATATTTTCTTTATTCATTTTTACTGGGACTTGTTTGGGAAAGGCCCCTCAGTGTATTGAAAAATCCCAGATAAGCAGTGGAAGAATTAAAGTTACAACAGATTTTCTGTGGTCTACATACACTCTCCGAGGAGAAAAATTCTGCAGCCAGGACACTCTTCTTTAGACGAGGTTGACTTTGGTGTGTTTTCTGTCTTCTTTTTAATAAATCAAACACATTATTTTTTGGAATTGCCTTTTAGTTTAGGCATAGACTTACTCAGAGAATGTGAAGCAAGTCTGTGGACTTTAAATTTTTCTGAATCAAAAGTTAATTTTGTTCTTGTTGCCTCACAAGCTCACCTCTTTCCCACTGAGTGGACATCTGACTAAGAAAGAAGGCGGCTTTTTATGTTTAGGGGTCTTGGATGCAAGATAGCCATGGCTTTAACATAGTCCCCATGTATTCTAAGATGTATGAGCTGTGATTCTACTGGAATGGAGCTTTTATTTCATAAGAGGGCGATCCAACATCATGTCTGTTTTCTTTTCTAGGGCAGTGTATCTCTAAAAGAACTGAATGCCCGACCCTTAGAAGTTTTCATGTGCAGTGTGCTCAAAAGACAAGGTTATGGAGAAGGCTTCCGCTGGATGGCGCAGTACATTGATTAACACCTACTGGCACTGGTTCCAGGGCTCACCGTTCAGGCCTACTCAGAGATTTGATCACTCAACATGTGTAACTTGAATTCATAGACTTTGGTTGGTTAGAAAACAAATGTTTTTTAGATTATTAATATATCAAGTTAATTTGAGTGAGAATTGAAAACTGATTCAAAGAAGTGTGAATATCATAATGTTAGCTTTCTAATTCCATAAAAATAATTAGTTTTTACAGTTTATAATCTGATGTGACCCCAGCGCCATTTATGAAGAGCAACTTTCCAGCAGTACACTTGAAGCACTTTTTAACAACATGAAACTACAAATATGAACCATATTTCAAAGCTCATCATGTTCAATTTTTTATGTACTTTTTGGGAACTAGTTTTTAAATTTTAGATTATATGTCCACCTATCTTAAGTGTACAGTTAATCAGCTTATTGATGATTGCATGATGCCTTACAGTTTCCAATTAATATTTTTTCTTATGCAAACGTCATGCAATAAAACAAACCCTAATGTTTGGCATCCTTGTTGGGCAAATGTTTCATTTTAATGTGTCTTATCTAGCTAGTTTGATCTGGAATTTTGAGTATTTAATATTATACATGTGAGGGTGTTGTTGGGAAAAGATACTTACTTCAGAATATTTTGACTAATGTTTAAGTCCCCAGAGGCTTTTGCATTTTCCAGGAGACAGCTGTGTTTGGTTGCACCTTATACCACATTTATCTCTGAATCATGTGTATTTTTATCAGTAACACTATCACCAGAGCTGATGGGGTCCATTTCCTAGTCCCTGTGGGATCAGCCTTCTAAAAAACAGCATGTCTCCTGGTACAACACAAGACTGATCTTTGTTTGGTAGGCACTGTAGCTCCATTCCAGGATTCTAAAGTGCTCCAGTCTTGTGCCTGGGTTGGCAATATGTGCGTCTTTACCAAAAGTAGTGGCAGGTACCAGTCTCCCCACATTTAGAGGTACTCCCCAGGGCAAGCAACAAGTAGGATTTTGTGAGTTTCAGGGTAGAGACCTGCATATCTGAGGAAAAAGCCTATTCTGCTTCAGTTGTCACTGAGATGTGCGGATTGTGCTGCTATTAATTAGTAGGAAGAAAATGAATGCTTATATTTAAATTTCTTTCTTTTTAGTTGCTTTAGCTGGCTTTTACTTTACAGTACACACAAAGACTGTTGTCTTTAGGTACAATGCTTGCCATGTGATAGTGTCTACAGCCTTATTGATAAACTTACTAATAAAATTTTAGCTAACTTTTTAAGTATTTTAATTTCCTAAGAAATTTTCTTTTTTCTCATGTTGGAGAATCCCATAATTAAAATAGTAAAATAAAAAATAGTAAAATAAAATGAAAGATAAGTGCCAAATATGTATTTTTAAAGACCTTCAAACTTGGTCATTAATCAAACTTTTGTAGTTTATTTTACCAATTCCATTGGATTGTTGCAATTCCATCAATAATTTTACTATCAAAATTAGTGTTTTCTTTAGCCATTGTCCAAATCAGAGTTGTTATTATCCACTCTGTCATCAGTAATGTAACATACTAAGCAAATAAGGGTCGAGGAATATTACTGCCTCTGGTTGATGGTATCTGTCTGCAACACCTTGGGTATTTCCTAGTGTATCTATTGTGATACTTGAGAAGTTAAATATTTGTGTCATAAATTGGTACAAAGGAACTGGTTTCTCTAGAAGGGAAAAATGCTTTGTAAGACAAAATGATCTTACTCCAGAATTCTCATTCTAGTTCTGACACTGAGATCAAAGAAACAAAGTTACTTTGTGGACCACAGCTGAACTGTGGAGATTTTCCCAATTATTTATAATTCTCATGGCCTGAACCTTTAGAAATGAAGCTGCACTTAGCTACGACCAGCTTTCCTCCAGGGAGATGGGCCAGCAGAGTTCCCCAACCACTGGTCTTGCGCTGTGGTTCTGAGGGCTTCTCAGAGCACATGCACTGAGTCATTGATCCCTTCAAAAGAAGAAAAGTAAGAAAACGTCAAGAAACAGAAGCTCTCGGAGAGAACATCTACCCTGTATGTGCCTGTGAGTATGTGGACCTGCGGGTAAACATTAGTGTTGGGGACATAGGTTAATTTTGTACCTTTGAGACTGTAAGGTGTGAAAGTGTAGCTGTTAACACTGTTGTATACAAGTGAAGATTGGATTTCACATAAATCAAGTAGGCACTGTTGTTCAAAGATATCTGAAAATCTTAAGTCCATACCTATTTCAATGACTGCTGTTAATTGTAATTTTGTATAACTAGTTAATAGACTGCAGGTTATCTCAGTGAAATTTTATAATGACGGTGACAGCATTTAAGAAAATTGGGGCATAGACATATCCTTAAGAATATCCTTAGGATATGACAAATCCTAAGACCCTGGCTTAGTTGACCCAGGGTCTTTGAGTGCCAAAGATGTATGAATTCAGATATTGCCTACACAGATCTAAATTTTAGCTTTGTGTGCCTATGTACATAGATAAATTCACTGTGGCTCACAATACATAAGCAAACTGCCCCCCCCCCACCCACAGTTTGCACACTTCTCTTGTGCTTTTCAGCACTATTAGAAACTTACTTGTAAATCATTAAAATAGGGTAGTCACTATAAAATAGGGCATGTCCTGCCTTCTGCAAAATGATTGATCGATCAGTCACGTTCAAAACCCAGCATTTTCCAAGTTTCATCATAGAAAACAGTACATAGCTCTAGTTGACATGATTTGAGAGTTTCAGGAAAAAGGTTTACATTTTCTGAAACTGTATTTGATATGTGACTCAATATTGACATTTCAATTTCTACATGACTGATGTTTTGAAGGATTTATTGCCAAATAAATTTTGACCAGCATAGATAATTTTGACCGGGCATAGACAATATAAAGGGGAGTCTCTCAAAAATATCTTGTGTTCATTTTATTTAGAGTATATTGTTTGGATTATTTTAATGGGACAAGTTAGCGAAGCTTCAAAAAAACTCTCAAAAAATCTCTCACTCAAAAAAAAGACATTAGCAAATAAAAAGTCTATAATTTAAATTAATAAGGAATTCATCATTTTCTGTAAGCCTTTAATTTTTTGGCTATAAATATAAGAATTCAGGAAGCAGTATTACTGTCTTCTATCAAGGACTAAATGTTCAAAGCTATATGTCAATGCTTCTGGGCATTTCTATCATTGTCCATCTCCTTTTGAAATGCAAGGTAGTTACTTTTAACAACAACAAAAAACAATTATGGAATATAGGACTAAGCCCTTGTGGCTGGGATTTTATTAAAGCCATTTTTCCACTCCTAAACCCTGCAATTGTGCCTCTCACACCTCCACCCAACACCGGGATAACAAGATCCCCTAAGTACACAGGGAGCCTACAGTCTATTAAATATTAAAGATGCGGTTCTGAATCAACTAATTTTTGCCCTCATAATTTAGAACATAAAGTAGCTAATACATTTCATAACACTGATTTTTCAGGGCTTGACCACATTTTTAAATAGCATCCAAAGTAAGCAAAATAAGCAATCTTATCCAAAGTAAGCTGTTTCAGGAGTGTCTCCCATTCCAAACAAATTTTAGGGCAGAAATGGGAAAGGATTTTGTGGGATTTCATGCAGAATTAGTTTTGGAAAAACTACACTGCTGTGGATGAATTCTTCAGCGTGCATGGGAAGATTTGATTTTAGTTTGAAATATTTCATTGAGTAAGAGGAGTGACACTTCTACAGTTACAGACATACAGGTTGTCTTCATCATCAGGTATAAAGAATCACATCAGAATGGCCAATGTCATGTGGGTTTCTGTATTCCCTGGTACTGCTCCTAACCTGAACTCGTGAGCAGTTGCCACAATGAGTCAAGAGCACTCGGGGTCAATGTGGTGAAGTTAGTTTTAAAGGTGAGCAAAGTATTTTTCCATGACGCCTTCAGTATTTGGCTGAATGCAGAGTATGTTGAAGTGGTAAGTTGGTGAAAAGATTTTCATCCTAACCTTATTTGCACTTTTGTACACCACTGCTTGCACTAGCATCTTAGTGCAAATTTTAACAATTGTTTTACAGTGTATACACATTGTTAAACATAATTTATATAAAGATGTTTCTGTTTACCTCTATGTATTTTACAAAGAACAGCTACAATAGGTGGTTAAATGTTCTTGAATTGTTTGTATGTTATTTTGATTATGTTCTATTTTTTGCCCCCTATGAAACTGAGTGTCAGGATTAGAAAAATAAAATGCTAACCTGGTCTTTGAAAAATTCTCATGTCGAGTTCTATTCTTACCCAGTTATAATTTTCTTTTGCTCATTACAACTTTCTGGGATTTCAAAATCACAAAAAGAACACAACTTCCCATTTGCACAAGGATTCCAAGGAACCTCTGCTTAAGGCCTAATTTGCTCTTTAAGACTGAAAACAGGGCCTCCCTGGTGGTGCAGGGTTAAAGTCTCAGCGCAGTCAAGCTATTGCCAGCCACTGCAGCATGAATTTTATCTCCAGCTGGGGAGCTGACTCACATGACGCAGCAGGCCTATCTCCTATGCTGCTCACCTCAGCAGTGTATTTCAGTAGATCTGCCTGTTCTGCTCCCCACTCTGTCTCTGGTGAATCCTCTTACCCCTGGCACCTTTGGCCTATAGCCCAGTTCTTGATTGCATAAGTAAATAAAATAAATCTTTAAAAAAAAATGACTGAAAACAACTTCTAGGCAAACTGAAGTGAGACTTACATGTTCCAACACAGTTGAAATGTGAAAAATAAGCAAAATAAGCTGTCAGTTTGGCTTTATCTACATTCAAGGTTCTCTAGTTTTAGTATACATCATAATCTTCTGGAGAGCTTTGAAAAGAAAAAGTCACCAAAGACTGATTTAGTAGATCTCACCTTGGGGCTAGAGGGCAGGAAATGCAGTATTTATATAAGCTCCTGAGGTTTTTCTGTGTCAAAGTGTGTGGATTTTTCATGAAAAAACAGTATGTAACAACACTACATACCAATAACATTACATGATCAGTAGCCAGTGGAGGGAAAAAATGATTCATTTTATAAGATTCTCAAGCTACTTTTTGAGCCTTTAACCATCCCACTCCCGATATACAGAAAGAATATAAACTTTGTGTTTAGCTCTTTTTTTTTTTTTTTTATAGAGGCATGTTTTTTTATTTATTTATTTATTTATTATATTTGTTTGTTTTTGTTTATACATGCACTGGGTACAGTCAGAAGCGCGGGAGGGTGAGAGAATTCACCAGAGCCAGAGCGGGGAGCAGAGCAGGCAGAAGGGCTGAAGTACACTGCTGAGGGGAGCAGCGGGTGGCAGGAGAGGTCTGCGCACCATGTGGGATCCTCCTCCGGTGGCCGGGGAGCAGCCGGGGATCGAACCGGCGCCGCAGAGGCCGCGGGCAGCTTCGCAACCCAGCGCTCAACCGCTGCGCCACCGGGGAGGCCCGTGTTTAGCTCTTTTAACATAACCAAATCATGTTTCTTTTACAATTGGACC